TTGAAATGCTTGTTTGATCCAGTCAATGACTATATCTTGTATAATATTTCATTTATATAAATCAGTAGAAAAAAGGTAAACTGATATAATATAGAGTTTAATTTGACTTTTAAAGAAAAGGTCAAGTGCAATTGCACCATCAGGATGTGTTAAGCAGCTGTGTATGTGTGGTTTGAGGTGATTGCGAATTATGAGAGCTGTTTCTTTGGCTGAGGTTTCCGAATTGGCCCAGTAGTATGTAAATTAGTTATTATTACAAAAGAATAGGTTAGATTTGTTAGAAAGTTTTGTTTCGGTTATGCTTGCGATAATGATGTTGTTATGGAGACAGTAGTTTTGCCATGTCTCTCTTTTGGTAGCTGAGTTGAAACCTCGAACATTATGAGTAGCAATATTGAGGTGTAGATCTCTAATATGGTTAGAGTGTTGATAAGAAGGACTGTTAGTGAGGTTGTTGTTTGCAGATGTGGAGGCTAAGGTAGGTGAACTTGGAGTATTGTAGTTGGAATTTTGTAAAAATGAAAGCAGTTCTTCAGGAAAGTGTTCAGATTCATCTAGATTTGGTTCAGAAACTGTTGGCGATAGTGTAGATGTTGAGTATAAAGTGTTTTCTGAAATCTCTATAGAATTAAATGCATTATATTGGGATGTTTTTTTGGTTTTAATAGGCAGGTCTAAATATTTGATTATTAGAAATTATTCAATTAAAGTGTGATTTGGAAGCAGAAGTTGGTTGTAAGATAAATATATATGCACTTCATTAGAGAAATGATTGAATGAGAGAGTAATGTTATTATTAAATTTTTGATTTTTTAGGTGAGCTAAAAATGTTCTAAGTGTTTGATTATAAAGTAGAAGTAGAAGGTTATAAAAGGAAAGAAAAATGTTATAGCAGGAGTTGAAATCACAGAATTCTAAAGATGTTAGATATGACTTCAATGGTGTTTCTTCTACAGAGTCGCTCGCCGTTTCAAGCTCGGTTCTCACAGCTGCACAGAATACTATAGTCTGTTTTATACGTTGGGTCTGACCAACATATAAATGGTCCTCCACGTAAATAGGCTTTACTGCCCGCCTACTTACATCATTCCCTTCATTAAATACAACGGTTGTATCAATTAATGAAGTAGCGGCTGCATTAATAGAGTTTGTAGAAGAAACGTTTAATAAAAAAGATTAAATAAGTGAAATTGAGAAGTATTGGATAGGAGTGTTTTAGCATAGGACTTGCGAGTATTGGGAGGTTTATTAAGAGTAGTAGTTAAGTTATCATCTATAAGCATATTGTCATCAGGATTAGAAGTTTAGTCGTTATCTGGTGTATTAGTATTAGAAGGAGATATTTTAGGTGTTTTAAAGAGGTAGGAGTCATCAAGATTTTTAATGAGAGTAAATTGAATTTTGAATTTTTCTAGTAAAATCTTTTCTGCTTGTGGGTAGAAGTTGGAAATATATTCTTTGCAGATTTGAGAAATTGTAACCTTTTCTTGGCTTAGGATATAGTAGAAGGTTAGGATTCTAGTAAGAAAATGTGTACTAACAGGCTTGCTTGTAATTTTTTGTATAGCTTGGTTGGAGCTAAACCAGAAATACCATTATTTTTTGCAGCTGCTCTGAGGTAAGCTCTGTAGTAGCTATAAAAGTAGAATCCCTTTCTGCGGTCCTCAGTTTCTACTTCATTATCTTTAATGAATTGTTCCTCAATATTTGTAGCAAGTTTGTGTAAAAGGTTAGTAGGTGTTGGGTTTTGAAAGGTAGCAGGATATTTGCTATCTACATTAAATATAGAAAAATCTAGAGTACTACATTAAATATAGAAAAATCTAGAGTAGGGTGTTTTAATTTTGGTTTAGAAGGTAAATCAGTATTGGAGGTTGAGGGAAATTTGTCAAAAGATTTGGTGAGAAAGAGAGATGCTAAATTTTTAAAGTTGTGTTCTGTATTGTTCGGTAAGGTTTGACATGGGTTGTCCTTATTATGTATACAGGTATATATATGGTAGAATGCTGCCTTGGTGCAGAGAGTAATATGTTCTCTATATGAGGAAATAGAGTAGATAGTAAAAGTTTTGGGAAGGAAGCTTTTGCAGATATCTGTGAGCTTAGTTGCAATCTAGTACTTAAGGAAATTGTAAGTCTTCTTTTCATCTATTTTGAAGAATTGACATTAATAAACTTTGAAAAAGGTTTCAAACCAAGTATCAAAGTTGGTTATATGTGGTTTAAGAGATGGAATGCATAAGTTATTTAGGAACTGTTTTAGGTATATTAAAGGAGACATTAATATTGAACTTATTATCATTTTAGATTTTAAATAAAGGTTAGTTTTTCATATTGATGGAAGTGAAATAGTGGAGATTGAGACGAATAGGACGAATGTTTAAGTCTTGGATAAATTTAGCTCTGTTAATAGTTTGGTACTCGCCATTAAGGAAGAGGTGAAGTCAGGCAAAGTTAAGTGCAACATTATAGCGATTAGAAGTCGAATAAGGTGGGATGGAATTGTGAGATGCAAAGATCTTTAAATAGTTGAGTTTAGTAAAGAGAATGTAAGTGAATTTAGATAAAATATTTTTAAATGAAGTATATACTATCTCAAATGGGATAGTAATATCTTTGTTAATAGTTGGGTGTTGTTCGTAGATTAGTTCTATTAAGAATTTTGGTTGTTGTTCTGCCATTTGTTTGATTAAATAGTTGAAGCTGTATTTAATATCTGGTCTGTTTACTTTCCTGTTGATTTGTCCTAAAGCAAAATCAACAAGAAAAGGTTTAACAAACTCAAAGATTTGCTGAGCAAGTGGTGTGTTGAATTTAGTAAAGAGCTCCATTGTGGAAGTAATAGGATAGGTTTTAAACCAATCAAGGTCATTGGATGTATCTAGCACAGGTTTAATAGTGCTATCTTTGTTTCTTTTCTTTGTTTTCTTTTTTTTTTGTTATTTGTTTTATTTGGTTTTATTGGTTTAGGTAAACCAGAACTTAACGCCATAATATTTCTCTATTTTTGTTATGCTCTTTGTATTTGTGTTTGTATTTTATTTTGTAAAAAGGAAAGCTAACTTTGATACAGTGTGTGGCACCAGCCTATGACCAAAGGATAACCTTTAGTTAGAGGCCCGGAGACTGACAGCCACTTTTTAAAGTTCTGTTGTAGACTATGAATAAACATCGAATTTTAATCGGCAAAAAATGACATCAAAATTAGGCAAATTAACACGATAAAAATGCATCGCAATAAAAAACATTTTTTGCTATTGCCCAAAACATTTTTCCTATTTCTCAAAACAATTTTTTTAGGTCCCTAACTGTATCACATATATCACGTGAGCAGACTGACAGAAAATGCAAAAGTACTTTATTGTTATTTAATTAGTAAATGCATCAAAAACGTAACTAAAGCACTGATGTTCAGAGAAATTAAAGGTCCTTTGCTTTCTCCGGACAATTAAAAGGAATAACACTTATCATACACTAAGCATAATCATATACAGCAGATAAACATATACCAAGCCCATGGTCAATATTAGTATATCAACATTGAAAGAGAAAAAAACAGCAGGATTCCTATCATCTTTGGAAGCCAGGAAAATCCTGCCATTTTTTATAGCTTAAACATCATGTCAAGTCGGACTGCTGTAGGCAGTGTGGGTTCAATTATAGTCGCTATTTCTGGGAGCATATCCTATCTCAGTCTATACATCGATCACACCAATGTATGCTGCATATTGTAGCAAATTAAAATTTTAGTTTTTATTATTTATCATTGTAAATAAATCTTTTATTTCCGCAGGAAAATATCTGCATGTATATAGTCTATTTGTAATTCTCTATCCACTTTGGTAATAATGCCCAATTTTGGCAAATTTATTAATTTTCTTTCGAATATTTTATCACTTATACTAAAGTAGTAATGATGGGTGGCTTAGTGACATGGTTGCATGAAAATCAGATGGATCACGTAGACACCGAAAAAATCGCGTATACGTGATCATACAAACACTGCACCTTAAGATTTTTCGGTGTGTACGTTATTTTTGTGGTGTATACACCCAAATTTCCACGACTGCGTTATAATTTCAGTGTAAACACTGAAATTGTGATGTATACATTTCTAAAAATAAGAATGTATTTAAAGACCTGTAATTTAATGCGATGAAGAATTTATCAGTTCTACCTTAAGAAAATAAAGACTATCCTTCCATCTCTAAAACATTGTCCCGTTTCCACTTGAATAAAGTATAAACTTATCTGAATATTCCCCTGCATATTGTTTTAAAATCTGACTTGAACTTTAATAAACCGAATCGAGATCAATTCCACGGACTGAATTGACTTATAACTTTGACTTGGAATATTAAGACTCGGATTTTGAATCATTTATTGTTAGGGAATGCTACCTACAACCAGATATTTGACTTCGATAAATCATTACGTAAACACAAAGCTATACTAGACCATCGTCCACTTTTAGTCTTATTATTACCTTTAAGGTCACCACCCTTCCTTAAAAACCCTTAAATTATCATCATTGTTCCTGGAACCATCCTATTGAATACCATTGTTAACAGCATCACCTGCTATTGCATCACCTTCTCATTATACCTTGTCAATACTAAGTATCCGTAAAACCATCCTATTGTTTCTTTTGTTCCATACTATTATAAAAAGACCCACTTCGCTCTCCATTCATATTCATCTCAACGTATACCATTGGAGTTGAATTGGCCTTCTATCCACATAATTATATTAAGCTTTCCCAACAACGGTTACAATTGGTGCCAATTGTGTAAATTGAATAATCAACCTTTCATAATAAATTATAATAAAATCGATTAATATCTCCCCATCTTCAGAAGAATCAAATTTTCATTTCTCCCAATCGTTGATCATAAGCCCATTTATAAAAATAAATATAAACCCTTTTAGTAAAATATAACAAACTGAATCAATTGTTAAGAAAAGTGAATCAGAAACTTATCTTGACCCAGAAAAAAAGTAATGGCTCAACAAAATCACACCAACCTTCTACAGCAGCCAAACCCTGCCCAACTGCCCAATCCAAATAATCCTCTCAACAATTTGGCCACCCAGATCGGTTTACTAATTCAACAAATGCAAGCCACACCTGCCGCTCAAATCAATGTTCTTCATCAGGAGTTAAACCTTGTTTCCTACCCTGACTTCGCCAGAAGCGACCAAGATCTAATGCCCTGGCTTGATGAGGTAGAAAAGGCTTTCGCAGCTAATCTAATTAATGATAATCGAAAGATTGCTGTTGTCGTCCCTCACCTCAAAGGGTCTGCCGCAACCTGGTGGGCTACTATCCAAAGGCTTCCCAATCCTGTTAATGCTTGGAACAACAGTGCTAATCCCACCTAGAGTTTTCGGCCCATCTTTATCAGCCATTTTCATACCCCCACATTGGAAGGAAAGTGGTTTGCCCAGCTTGCTACCCACA